AGTAGTATGTAGAAGTGCATTTAAAAGAAAAAAAAAAAAGAGAAAAATAAAAGAGAATGGTGATATATTACATGGATGGAACATGTACATGTGTGTAGTAGACAGAGGAACTATACGTAAAGCGCGGTCACCGATTGTCAAAGAAGGCAAGGGCAGACTCAACTGGTGGTTTAAAAACCCGCTGTCTGCTCCAACACCAGATAGCGCTCCAAGGCAACTTGAGCACCTCTGGCAGCGATGGAGCAACCCAGATAGCACTCCAGGCCACCGGAAGCGCCTGTGAAGTTCCTCTGGCAACGATGGAGCAACCCAGATAGCACTCCAGGCCACCGGAAGCGCCTGCGAAGTTCCTCTGGCACCGTGGGACAAGATAAAGATTCACAAATTCAGGAAAATAGAAAGAAACATGCCCCTTAAGCTGATGATGTAAAAAGGAGGGTAGGATCTTTTACTCCACTCTAGTCAATGGAGGGTGGAGATGTTTGGTCCTGCTTCTCCTCCAGGGTGCACCTATGTGATGTGGGTTAGATTGGTAAAAGGTGAATGGTCTATATTGACCATATTGGTAGAAGGAAAGAAGACCAACTCATAAAGATGCATCCTGGGCATAATTATTGAGTGTGGGACTAGAGAAAGTCCCAAAGGGGGGCTATGTTGGAGAATTCTGCTTGTCCTATGTACACGTGAAAGAAGTGTGCTGTACATGTGAAAGAAGTATGCTGTGCATGTGAAAGAAGCGTGCATGTGATGTAATGCCAAGAAGAAAAAACTAGGGTCTTAGGGCACATGAGGACAGGGACGAGAGAGTGGAAAAGTACCCAAAAAACACTTGTAGCACAGATGCAGGTGTTGGGAGGCACTGGGAGAGAAACAGATTGTATACAATGTAACAATGTGCCACTGGGAAAAGTGTACTGAAACAAGGAGCCCATTGTGTAAAAAGAAATGATACGCATGCGCAAGGAAGTTTGCCCAATTAAAAATAAAATGATAATGCAGGTGTTTTTAATCTGGGAGGAGTAATAAGGAGGAGCCAGGAGAGAAAAGATAACAATTTGAGCGCTAATTGGGTACCACAAGGTATAAGAAATGAGTGCAGACCATTGTAAGATCAGATGCTTGGCCACATCTCACTTTGTTGACCTGCTCAATAAAGTAACTTCTTCTGAGACCTGAAACCTCGACTCTGCGCAATTTCTTCAAGACCTGAACCAGACTTTGATGATTTGAATTGAGACTGGAAATCTGCCACAACACCCTCTTCATTGAAAAGGGCCAGCCGGGAACGCAGCACGCGGAGCGGTAAAGCCTCACAATGCTCGCAAGCAGCTCCCTCGAGAGCTGCCTGCGCGTGCTGCATTCCCAGACAATGTGTACACAGTTGGTGTGTGTCCCCGCCCGTGATGTAGCGAGGGCAAGGGTGCACACACCGCCTGAAATTCACACTCGCCATTATTTAGATTTTAGGGAGATATGCTTAGACAGACAAACAATAAATAAGACTGACAGTCACAGAGAGCGCTTAGCTGAAGAACAGAAAGCTGACATATTGTGTGTGCCGGTTCCTTATATATGCTTCCGCCTATGTGTCGTCACACATCACGTCATCACGTTGATCCAATCGGAGATTGGCTTAGTTTCATTCATGCTTCAGAGACGCTACGCTGAGGGGCGTTCCCCCAAAGTGTCACTTGGACGCAGTTTGAGTTCCCTCGATAGGGAACTGACACACCAACCTCCTGCACGAGTGCACAAAGGGGCTCAAACTGTTCTATTCATCACAAGAATCAGTAAATTTACTGTTGGGAATCTGAGCTACTGACATGACTCCTAAATGGATCTTCAACAATAGTTTAGCAGCCAGGACTCGGGGCTTCCGAACACCAGGCTAAACCGTCCGTCCAAAATGTCACGGTCATTGTTCACGAGCTGCCCAGCACAAACTTCCAACCTTTCTGCCTCCTTCACGTGGTCCTCCGTTGTGCAACAAGAGGTGAGACGTGCTGCGTCCCAATTCGCCTACTTATACTACGGCCTAAAAGTACTCTTTTTGTGAAGAAAAAGTACATACTTTTGAGTGTGTAGCAAAAGAGTAGGCAAGCTTTGGCACATACTAGCATGTCATCTTTAACCGACGGCTCTGCGTGCATCCTGTCACCGTAAACTGCCCTTTCACAGTTAATATCCTCAATTCTATCTAATTTGATTTCCTACCGTATCGGAGCACGTTGATCTGCCAGGGTCTTTCATGCGGATACTTTACTCGTAATTGTAATTTGAATATAATGATGCATTTAAAAAGTAATGGCTAAACGTATCCTTACAAAAGTTCACAATGCTGCTGCAGATGTAATATAATGTGGAGAACATTGAATAAATTAATTTTCGTTTGGTTAGATACTGATAATTAATCACTCCCCAGATTAATCACTCGCCAGACGTTGAACCAACGTCAGACGCGTCATTCTTTCAAAACTAACGGAAAATCAACTTGAAATCAATGTTGCTTCAACGTTATGAAAGCAAACCAATTTTTGATTTTCATTTAGCTTTGAAGAATGCCGCGTCTGACGTTGGTTCAACATTAATTCGATGAGCAAAATCAACGTTGTTTCGATCTCATGAGAGACGTCGTTTCCACGTTGATTCAATGTCAGTTTGCTGTCTGGGTCAAACCTCTTTATCTAAACCTCTCAACGTAACCGCGGGACTCGCGCGTCCTCCGTGTCTGTAGTTTCATAACACTTTTTACTGGTGTTTGTAGTTCTAACCGAATCCTCCTCGTCCAACGCGCAATGGGTTGTGGGCAATCAGCCGTTAGAGTGTGCATCGATCAACACTCAAGGGGGTAATCCATCGACCGGAAGTTGAAGCCTCGCGGGAGCTGACATCTTGTAGCAGAACTTCACTTGCGTTACCATTCCCATTGACTCCCATTCATTTTGGCGTCACTTTGACAGCGAATAACTTTACATCTGAGGCGTTTGAAGACCCCATTTGTCCTTAAATTATTTCTAAAGAAACACGACAATGTATAAAATGCTCCATTACCTTGTAGCTTATGTTATGGCCCTGTAGAAGCAGTTTTAGTGAAAGAGGCTAACAATTGCGTCATACCCACGCGACTCTCTGTCGCACGTAGAGAGATTACCGTATGGACATGAGAAGAAGCTCGCGCGCAATCTGGGAAACGTGGAGGCAATATGACAAAATAATTAATCAGAATACCTAGCAAAATTGTCTCCTTCTCCTAGCTCACGGACAGCTCCTATTCACACTCTCCGCCTCTGCATGTTTCGGAAGGGAATGATTCAGATTTCTCATGCCACAGCACTAGAAGACAGACGGGTTGCTCTCGTCACATATACGTAGTCAAGCTCTGTTTGAGTCGGTTTGAGTCTGCGCGTCAGGGACGGAAGTGCTAAAAAAATCGACAAAAACGAGCTGCAATCGTCTCAATGGAGTTCCAATGAGATCGCTCTGTCCATTTCTTTTACTGTCTATGTCTACACTTCGGATTCTGACCGGAAACAGTAGACCATCGGGGTATCTTTGAAACGCTCATTTCAACATACTACGGTTTGGGACGCACTAATTCTATTTTCGAATCCTATTTAGGACGAATAGTATGCGAATTGGGACACAGCAACAATCCGGCTAAATTCTTTAACTTTCGTTTTCTGAATCACTCTGTACTTTTCATAATAAAAGTCTCAACTCAAACAGCTCTTTACAAGGCAGTTTCAAATTAAGAGTCTTAAATACAATAATAAAATAAACATTAAATATTTACAGGCTTCTCTGTCAGTCACAATAAGAGTTCAATTAACTGAAAACTCTAAAAGGTTGTTTTTTAATTACTTATAAAAATAACTATAATTAATTGTACTTGCATACAATACACATTGTGGGGAGTCATTTTTCTGCCTTTTTTTCTTTAGACCAAAAAAAAAGAAAGAAACTTGCATTGCTTTTCAATCGCATTTCATTTTGGTATTTTTTTATTTTCTTTGAGTAAGTGTTTAATTAAAATGATTTTAATCATTCTTGTTCTCCAACAGATAAAACAAATCTTGCAGCAACACTAGTTTATTAGTTTAACTAGCTAAACATTTACTTTATTTGAATCTAACAAAACATTTTCTCACTGTGACACAGAACAATGCTTTCTAATATGAGTCACTAGACTACTTGATTGGGTGAAACTCTTTCCACACTGAGTACAGTAGTACGGCTTCTCTCCAGTGTGAACTCGCTCGTGTGATTTCAGGTTTCCAGACCGATTGAAACTCTTGTCACACTGAGTACAGTAGTACGGCTTCTCTCCAGTGTGAACTCGCTCGTGTTTTTTCAGGAATCCAGACTGAGTGAAACTCTTGTCACAATGTGAGCACTTGTAAGGTTTTTCTCCAGTATGAACTCGTTGATGCAGTTTCAGTTCACCAGGTCTAGTAAAGCTCTTCCCACAGTCAAAGCACATATAATCTCTCACTTCATTATGTGTTTTTTTGGTGCCGTTTAAAACTGTCCAGCCTTGAAAAACTCTTTCCACAGAGAGAACACACATAAGGCTTCTCATCTGAATGAACTTTCAGGTGTTGTTTTAGAGTTTCTGATAAACTAAAATCTTTACCACACTGATCACAGTTAAATGGCTTTTCTCCAGAGTGAACACGCAGATGAACACGGAGACCTGATGCTTGAGTAAAACTCTTTCCACACTGAGTGCATGTACACGGTTTCTCTCCAGTGTGAATTCTCATGTGCCTGTTAAGGGTTCCTTTCTGTGTTGAAAGTCTCTCCACACTGAGTGCATATATACGGTTTCTCTCCAGTGTGAATTCTCATGTGTTTGGTAAGGTTTCCTTTATGTGAGAAACTCTTTCCACACTGAGTGCATGTATACGGTTTCTCTCCAGTGTGAATTCTCATGTGTTTGTTAAGGTTCCTTTATGTGTGAAACTCTTTCCACACTGAGTGCATGTGTGCATCTTTTTGGCTTTTGTTCTTTGAATCGTAAAGTTACGATGTTCCTCCTCCACTTCATTCAGTTCTTGTCTTTGCTCTTTCACTCTCACCTGGTCTAAAACACACAGAAATACAGTTAGAATCAGTTCAAGTTAACCCTTATTTATTAGTAGAAAACAACAGAGATCAGATCTTTCACTTGTTATTCTGTCCATTTATTGTTAATATAGTAAAATATGTTTGACAACTGCTTTATACAAAGTTATGATCATTTAGATGTATTTATCTATCATTTTTCATCCATAAATTGCTTATTAATTCACAGCCACCCAAGCATCAACAATGAAGAATCAAGAATGGACACCAACCTGTTTGTTCCTCAGTATCTTCATGTTTTTATTCTGGATGGTTCTGGATCACTCATGTCTTCAATCTCTTCTTTAATAAACTCTATCTTTAACAGTCACACAAGATTTCAGCTGCTACTCCTAGAGATTGTCCTTCTCTTGTAGGATGATGGGAATATTCCCAGTATTTTTTGGTGAATTGTTGTGGGAGGGGCTTCACTGCAGGTGTGAACTGTGATCAGTGTGTTTTTATCCAATCTGCATTTAAAAAGCACAGGACCATCATGTTAAACTGAGCAGCTGAAAAACTCTTTGTCTCCAAAAGTTCCCTGTTTTCAGCTCATTCATTATGGTGATGTCTGAGATCTTCAGTAAATTGGCACATTAACTTGTTTTATTGGTGTCAACAGGCTGACACAAACTACAGCATCATCACCTTTCACTTCCATCGAGTCTGAAACACTAAAACATATTAAGTTGTTAGAAAGAGTTTTCGAAGACTGTTCAAACCCATTAGAAGTCCTTTCTGAAAATGAACTGCTGGAGAGAGCTAAGGTTTAGCTAGGTTTCATAGACATGCACATGCAACTATTCATCTGTATTATTATTAAGTAACTGTAATTAAAACTCCTAGCTACATATTGCCAAATGTTTTAAATTAAATGAGTACAATATCACTTTCCATTTAATAGAGATCTTGCACTCCCAGACTTGGAGGATGACCAAATTGGTGTAGAACCCACTTGGAGAGATTAACGGGCAGGAGGTGGAAGATGGATCTGGGCGTTATATTCAACGAATGATTGTAGATAACATTTTTCTCAGTTTGACTGAGAAAAATAAAGAATTTATACTATCAAATGAATTGGACATATTATAATGTATTCATTGAGACAATACTTACAAAAATATTTATTTTGCACAGTATGTCAGGACTCTGGTTTTGATCTTCAGCCTTTCTGCTGTGTT